GCATTTAGTCTTTACCATACAGCAGATGGCATTTCAAAACATCAACAAATATTACGGCAGCAGCGTTTTTACATTTCAGTCTCTGCATTTAACATGCACATGTTAAATGTAAATTTAATGTACATATGCTCAGGCTTTGAATGCGTACCAAATCTTAATGTACTTTGAAATATGTATATGCTAAATGTTCTGTGATGTGTGTGCTAGAAGAATTTAGAAGTAGCTCGAATTTTGATGGTCATGTGAGAACAAAATGCACAAAAAGTGCTTTAAAAAGGGGGGCAAATTTTAAGTGAAAGAAAACGAAATTTATGATTTTTTTTCCAAAAATACATTAAAAAAAACGCATAGTTTTTAAATGAATCAAATAAGTCACGCCTAACTAAATGGGTTTGAGCATTAATGTTGTGAAACTTTTGCTTATAACAGACTGCCAGCTCTTAAACTGTTCTGCTTAACGCCTTGCCCCAAGCTCACTTAACAGCAGAGGCTAGACAACATATTTGAGGCCTGTAACAGAGCACTGTTAATGCTCACCCCCTGCAGCAAAAGCTTAACTTGCTGTTCTGTTAGAATGTTAAAATTTACCACTATTACCCCGATAGCACTGCAGAAGCTTTAACCGTTGCGCCGCAGAGCTTTCAACTCTGTAAGCTCAACTTTTACTTCGACTGCTAACAGGAGCTTTTGCCACTTGACGCTTCCTTATTGACTTTAGCAACTGACAGTTCGAAAGACAACGGTAAAAGCAACGAATCTCCGGGAACAGCTGATTGTCAAAATGAACAACCCCCCGCCCGCGACCCATAGCTCGAGGCCGCCAGCCATCAGCTGGAGCTAGAACAGCAAGTTTCGGTTCGATGTTTCTTTCAGTTTGCCAACGAATGGAAACCCGTGGAATCATGCGGTGCGTCACCAAGTGACGTCCACACTTAGTCAAAACAGTTACGCGCGACTCAGTGTGCGAGTGCTACGGTCTGCGTGTGTGTGTGTGCGAGTGTGTGAATGTACGCGCGTGTGTGTGACTATTTGTGTATGGAGTAACATTGAAAAACGCCTGAGCCAGACAATTGCCAAAAAAAAAAGAAAGAAAAAGAATGAAAGGGAGATATAAGTATAAAGAGCAAACAACGAACAGAGTGAGCCTTGACCTCAAGCAATGCAAGTGCAATACGAGCAACAACAACAGCGCAGCAGGCAAAACAAAAGCTAGACAATCGGAAAAGTCAGAAGTGGGCGCAATATGACGCCCCGAGCGAGTCAATTAAGCAACGCGCAACTGTAACCAAAAAGGAAAAAAAAATGAGAAAGCTTTATTAATAACGCGAAATTAAAGGTGCATCGGAAAAAGGAAGCGAAAGGCCTTTATAGAAAATTGACGAAGCAGAAAACGAGGAAAAAAATAAAGAAAACTAAAACAACACAAAAAACTGTGGCAACAGCAGCAGCAACAGCATCCGCTGCTGTGGAGCATGGGTTCATGCTTTAGCAGCTGTGTTGCCGCCACCGCCACAAACTCCACAGCCACAAATTCCACAGCCTCGTCGTCTTCCTCCTCGGTTAGCTCCACCAACTGCGTGACGGCCGTCGCCAACAGCTGGCTTCTTTGGTAAGCCCCCACACGGCCCCAACGTCCCCAACTGCTGCCCCTCACCTCCAGGCTTCTGCATTCGCTTAGTGCATACAGTTAATTAAAATTGCATTTTGTTTACCTTGTGGCATACATACATACACACTCACACACACGCACCTAGAGAGCAGGGCAAATCCAATAAGCGTGCTGCGTGCTGCTGACTCGGCAATCAATAGAAGCTTAAAGGTAGTGCAACACCGTCCCCTCGCCCGACTTGTAATTAGCGCAATTCGTGTGCTCAACTGCTATTAAACGTCACGCTTTATGGCTGGCCAGGTTCTTGGCTTTAAATTGCATTGGCAAACATATTTTGCAGCGCACCAGCACCACCCGCTAGGCTCTGTGACAGGGTCAACGGCCTAAAAGTATGCAACGGCCGAGTGCGTTTTACCACAAAACAATCGCCGGAAGGGGCTTCACTTGCGTTCACTATGCCCATATATAAACAACTGAAATTAAAGTCGATTCCCACGTGTGACACTCACCGCCTGATACCCTAAGTCAAGCTCTATAGTTGTTGTTGATAGAGAAAGCACAGACGAAATGTAAATTTATAACAATATTTCAAATAAAAATCAAAGAAAATGTCGTCAAACAAGCTAAGAATTTCAGCTAACCTAAACTCC